CTGAAATACCTGTGACATTAGCTATTTTAGACTCAATGTACAAACAATTGCCATAACATACGTATGGAACGGATTTCATCTCAATCGTTTTGTCAACACTTTTCAAAGGAAATGTCATATGGTATGCTCCAAAGAATTGTACTCTATGACTCATTCGTGTTAACTTAAACTCCTTCGCATAACTGAACTTCAAAACTCCTGCAATAAGTTTAACATTCATTAAGTTTTCTTCGTTATCCTTGTTTATTGTAGTATTTATGAGAGCATTTAACACTCCAGCTAATGTTTCCATCTTATATTCTACATTATTGTGAAATCTTATTTCGTGCTTCTTTCCATCTATTTCAAGCTCCATGAAATCTGTTTCATCTGTTATAACGAATGAAGCGATAGTATTGAAGTCAACCATTCTGAATGCAAGCGCCTCATTCTGTAGACCTAAGTTTGTTTGTAGCTTTACTGTCCCGTATTCGTTTGGGTCTGTACTTTGCAAATAGAACAACATTTTATTCTCATTAAAATATGAGTATAGCTGCATATGCGTATGAAGCTGACAGAGCTAAACGTTTATATTTTGGTCAATACTCTCTCACACTTACTGACAAATATATTGTTATCAGTGATGGAAATACTGAGAAATATATAACATGGAAGGATTATGAAAAGTTTGACCCTATTTTAACTCCATGTACTATGCCATTCATTGTAAATGGTGAAGTTGTCATGAAGAACGACACAACAGTATATAAGTCTGTTCATGAAGCGTTAGAATATATGTTGAATTATAATCCCGAAAGATTTGACCCAAGCACTACGCCATGTGGCAATGCCTTTTATTAAGGATGGTGAAATCGTAAGGGTTCCGAATTCAACGGTTTATACTGCTGTTCAAAACAGTTTTACAAAAACATTTTAGCGAATATCTTTAATTCAGAACTACAGAAATAAAATTACCGTATATAACAGATGCTAAAGAAATTAAATCAAAAAACAACAACATTATTTACGTCACTTAATGATTTAACGACTTATATCATTAATATTCCTGCACCAACTACAGCATTTGATCCAAACTCGACGGTTTGCAGTGTACTTTCATAAATGACAGTTCATTAATTACTTTAAGGGATTCGAACAGTAAATGAATCATTAAAGGCGTCATTAATGAAAATCATTGATTTTAATTCATTCACGAATACATATAATTCATTCATTAATGTTTCATAGCTTCTAAAGAAGGTGAGCCAAAAAACTATCGATAAAGCGGTGTATGAATAAAAGCATCAACGACGAAATTGAATTCGTTAACTTTTGACGGTGATAGTTTCGTTAATGACATAACATCGGGGAAACAATTTTAACGAAAGAATACTTAAAATCTCATGTTACGTGAGTTCGTTGAAATTGAAAAAGAAGGTGGAATTAAGTTCGATCCACTGAATTTCATTTTCAGCTTAGCGAAATGCGGGTGTTAGTTTCGCTGAATGGACAACTATACAGAGTGAAATAAATGCAATATGGACGTTTTTGGGGTCAAAAGCGGAATGGGTGAGCTTGTAAATGCTGCAAGAACATTAGGTGAAACAGGAAATTTTGTAGATGGTTTTAAAAGACTTGTTTCAAATGTTTTAACAAACACAAAGAAATTATTTAGATATACCGTACATAACGGACGGATTTTCGAACAGATAGCAACAAACCCTCCGGTTATGGCTGCGTTGATGATGGTTAGAGATATAAAACCACGTAACGACGGGAACGAAGAACATGAACAACAGGATACTGGTCGGGTTATTCGAGACATTAAAAACGTGTATCCTGAAGTTATTGATTTATTTAGAGGAGTTAATGATTCAATTTCAAAACATTCTATAACCCTCGATGAAGAGAATAAATTAACAGATTATATATTCGTCATTATTGCAGAATTAATGAAGAGAATAAATGAAAAAGGAATTGGTGATATCATTAATGTCAGCGATGTAATGATGAAAAGAAATTTTGACTCATTATTTACAAAACCGAAAACAGAATATAGTCTTTATGACGTAATTACTGAATTAATGAAAAAGATTAATGATAATAAGAGTTCTGGCGGAAGAGTTGAATTAGAAGTGAATGATGTTAATGAGAAATTAGCCGAAAAAGCAGACAAAAATGAGCTTTTAGCTCTGAGTGATAAAGTCAAGAACCACGTTCATTATATAACTTCAGACGAACAGATTATAACGGACTACCATGGATATTTAACACAGGATGAACAAATAAGCACTGAAGATGTTAATGAAAGAAGATATAAATACATTCGTGCTAAAGGTTATGACATATGCTGTACTGTACAGTATGACACGGGTAAAGCACCAGAAGCATTTAGTTATAACGATGAAATTTATGCCTCTACTTTCTCTGTTAAAGGTGTATTAGTTGAACCAAGATTTACTTTGAGAGTTAAGTCAAAAATAACGTTTGAAGATGCTATTAAAAGTAAAGCTGACAAAGTTGAACTCGAAGCAATGAACAAAGTTTTGAAATCTCATAAACACAACATCTCCGATATAAATGAACTTCAAGCTACATTAGACAGTAAAGCCGACAAGAACCATACACATAAATCCTTCACTACTGTTAGAGCAGACGACATAATATTGAACTATACCCTTGGTTCATGCACCTTTAGAGAATCCAAGTAAAGCGTAAAAGATACACTAAACTCCTTAAATAGTAAATGTATGAACATTGAAGGTCATGTCAGAAACTTTGAAACACATGAACTACCAGCAATGTTAGATAAAAAAGCAGATAAAACTTATGTGGATGCAGAACTAACAAAGAAATTTTCGAAACCAGATACAATGACATTTACAACAGAAATTATAAATGGTGAACCAGCAACTCCATTTGAATTTGTTAGAGGTCTTCAACCAGATACTTTTGAATTTTCTTGGATAATTCTATTGAACTAACATTACATTATAAAAAGTGGAACAAATGCAACATTTCATCGGGAGATACATTCCAAATGGTATTTAATGACATAAGTTCTTTAGAATATGTTTATAGAGTTATGAGCATATATGATTTAATATATCCTATAGGAGCTGTTTATACGTCTATGAATCCAATAATCCAAACACTTTATTTGGTGGTAGATGGTATGAAATAGTTGACAGTTTTCCATTCTACACTAATACGCAGTCAATGAAGATGGGAGGTTCAAAGAAAATAGGTATTGAAAACCTTCCTTCACATATGCATAGGTTCAGTGGAAGAACATCTGTGGAAGGAAACCATTCACATTCAATAACAAAAAGAGGTTATATAAATCTTGCAGCGGGTTCGGATAGATGGGGAATGAATAGATATGATATCACAACTGACCCAGTAGATTCAAGCACAGGTATTTTCTGTGGAACCGCAGGTAATCATACACATGTTGTAGCTGGTATTACAGACCCAGCAGGTAATGGAAAAGATTATATGCCTCCTTATATAACAATGCACGCTTGGATACGAGTTGGTTAAACTCTTTAACTTTACATAAATGAGCTTGAAAGAAGTATTCGAACAATATCCATGGAGGTCATTTAAGAAGTTCAATGAAGCAGCAAAAAGTTGGGGATTTACTAACAGAGCTGAAGTGAAAAAGTTCTTTGACAAAAATGTTGTACATCAAACAAAAATAAACCCTTACGACTACTTTTTACCAATTTACTCCAACACTCCTGACGCATACCAATTTGACACTCTCATTCAAAGCAGAAAAGGAGGACATAAACCATTCCTCATCTTCATTAATTTTAACACTCGCAAAGCTTTTGCGTATATAATGAGGAATAAAGGAACTCGTGAAGTGTTAAGAGTTTTACAAAAGTTTGTAGCAGAACATAGCCCAAGTACTTTAACATCAGACCAAGACAGTGCATACCTCAGCAATGAAATCACAGATTTTCTCATTAAGCATAACATAACTCACTACACTACTGAAGACCATAACCATAACATACTCGGCATCATAAACCGCTTCATAAGAACGCTCAGAGATTTAAATCAAGAGCGAGACTTTACCGAAGAAACAATGAAACATTTTCTCGAAGTATATAATTCCTCAACACATTCTACAACAGGACATACACCAAATTCAATGACACAACAACAAGAAGAAAAGTATATACAAAAGAAACGAAGTCAAACACAAAATATCAGAAATTCAACACAATTTACCCTCATTCCTGGTACAAAAGTTCGTGTAGTTCTTGACGACAAACCGTTGACAAAGAAACGTTTAAGGTTAAGTCGAAATTATTATATCGTAGACTCTACGCAAGGTAATGGATATCTATAAAAGCTGCTGACGACTCCATAGCATTTTACCCTCGTCATAAATTAGTCGAAAGTAGTAATGGCAAACTTGCTGAAACCATTGACGAAGCAAAGCGAGGAGTGGTTATTGAAATACTTGCTATAACATAAACGATGACACTTATAAAGTAAGATATGAAGGAGGCGTTGAAGATGTTATACCATCTAAGAACTTGAGAGAGTCAAAGCCAACACATCTGGGACCATTAGAGCGGGAGTACTGGAAAGACAAAAATATACCAGAAAGAATAAGAAAATTCTTCTAAACTTTTTCGTTGGATGTAAATCAGACATGAATGAGAACAGTCATGAAATTATTAATGGTACCATGAATTTTATATATTAATGTTTTCATAAATACTGTAAATTTACGTCAAAAATAATTAAGGTGAAGGGTGAAATCTCACCTCTTTTTTCACCCTGTTTTTCACCCTAGCTGCTAAGTGGCGAGATGATCCGTGGGATCTCGTGAATTTTCATGAATTTTTTCAGTGTTACCATGTTACCATGTGCTACCAGGTAAATTAACTTCTTTTAAAAACGATGACAACATGACATTTAGACAACAGCCCCGGAAATTTGATGCAGCCCAAAAATAAAGTTAGTTTTAAAATTATTTTTATTTTTTTATTCCTATATAAATGACAGCAACAAACAACAACAGCAACTATATCGTTTCTGATGGAAAAGTTATTGATTCATTAGCTGAGGAATTAGTTGTGGCAGAAACTAAAACCCTCAACGAAAGAATTAGTGAAAATAAGATTGATTTACATAACTACCTCAAACATGATGGAGGAAGAGGAAGGAAAACTGGTATGGCTTTATTAGTAAATAAAATTTCAAATTTAACGATTATAGATATTGATATCAATAAATCGTACAATGATGAACTTAAAGAAACAGTTAGAAAAGATATTTTATCAAAACTTTCGGATAAAGATGTTATCGTTAAAACCGCTTCAGGAGGTCTTCACATTTATTGCAACACTAATTTCTTCTATGCAGTTTCGAACAGAATGATTAAATGTTATTCCTGCAATGATTATGATATTGATATAATGACTTCTATGGATGATTCAAAGCGTTCTTTAGTAGTTATGGCTGATTCAAGAGTTCGAAAGAATGCATCAGAACCAATCAATACATACTCATTCATTCGCGGAAGTTATGATTCAACATTAACTAGAACAGTGAATGATATATTAAATGATTTGAATATTAAGGTAAGAGTTGAACAGAAGAACGAAGAAATAAAGACTATCATGAATGAAAACAAAGATGTAAACATTGACGATAAACTTGCCCAGAGCATAGTTGATGGCATCAGTGATTTTGAAGTACATAATGACGGTGGAAACATGAATTTGGAAAAAGAAATAACATTATTCACACTGTTTCAAGCAATTAATTCGTTACCTAATCATTTAATTAATGAAGCATACGATAACGTTTATAACTTCTGCAATTTAACAGAAAATGCAAAAAGTAATTTTGAAAAAGCACGTAGTAGATATGCACATTTAATGACTTCTCCATTTGTTTTAGTGAAGATTCTGAAACTTTATCAAAAAGAATATTATGATGAATATGTTTTACCTTTATTATGTAAACCAAAAATAACATTTGATATCAAACTTGATGACTCGTTTTTGATAACAGATATTAGACGCAAAGCTGAAAATCATCAGTATAAAAACAGTTCTGAAGTAATTGAGGATTTATCACGTGTAATCCGTTTTGTAGATTATGGAAACAAATACTTCATTCAGAAAGATTACAACATACACGACAAAATGAATCAAATATCATTCGTTCTTCAATCAAACATGAAAGAGTCACTTAAAATGATTAAATTATTTAAAGAAGAAGGTAAAACAATAACAGCATGGGACGTACTACTAAATCAATTGTCTTCATTAACCGTTAAGGGTGTTTGCTTTAAATCTGATTCCCCAGATGTTTTCTCAACGTTTCAAGGTTATAAATACAACGTTCTCGAAAAAGTAGATTACCCAAAAATTGAGATGTTTATGGATTTCATTAAAGAAGCCATTTGTGATAATAACGATGAAGTGTATAAATACCTTCTCGGCTGGATTGCATCAATGATTCAACATCCTGGAATCAAGAATGAAACAGCAATTATTTTGAAAGGACTTCAGGGAACAGGTAAAAACAGATTTACAGACATTATTTCTGAACTCCTCGCTGGTTATTCATGTAAAAACATTACTGAAATAAGTGAGCTAACGGGTAATTTCAATTCAGTTGTTGAAAATAAAATGTTTCTTGTACTTAATGAACTCAAGAATGTAGGTGAAGATAGACTCGCAAACTTCAACGCTTTGAAATCAATTATAACGGATAATGAGATAAGAATTAATGAAAAGAATCAACCCAGAAGAACAGCACAGAACGTTGCAAACTTCATTTTCGTAACTAATAACGTTTACCCTGTCAAAATTGAAGTTGGAGACAGAAGATATGTAGTTTTAAGGGTTAATGGTAAATTTAAGGGTCAATTTGATTACTTCAAGAATTTAATGGATTCATGCACAAAGGAATTTTATGATAATTTACTAACATATTTTATCAATTACGACCTTTCATCATTTAATGTACGAATTATACCGATGACTGAAGCCAAACAAGATTTAATAGAATTATCAACAAATCCTTTAGATGAATGGATAAATACACATTATGATGAATTGTGTGCAGGTATGACGTGTAAAAATGCTCTATTCTGCAAACCATCAGACATGAAAGACAAAAATTTCCAAATGAGCATTAAGGATAAATGTGAAAGGAAACATAGAAGAATAGATGGTAAACAGACGTGGTGTTATGTTTTGAAAGAAGAAATGAAAGGATTATATAAACAAATTGAACCAAACGATAATGAGGATTCATTTACTGACGATGAAATACCTGTAAATGAGCCGCTAAGCGGCGAGACCTGAAGGTCTAGCTTTATAAAGTATGATTTGAATTTATTTTTGCATTAATCCTGCTGTGTTGTCAAAATGTCATGTTGTCATCATTTTTAAAAGAAGTTAATTTACCTGGTAGCACATGGTAACATGGTAACACCTTCAGTTATACAAAATTAATTCATAAATGCCTTCCTCCTTTCGTACCTGTTGTCAAAATGTCATGTTGTCATCATTTTTAAAAGAAGTTAATTTACCTGGTAGCACATGGTAACATGGTAACACCTTCAGTTATACAAAAATATATTTTTGCTTAAATGACGTCAGGGTCAATTTCTTCAACCATTTCACTTTCTTCGTCAATGTCAATAGAAGCTTCTTCAACCTTTGGTAAGAATTTCTGTATAACATCTTTGTTCGTTATTGTCTTCAGAGATGAAGGATAATATTTCACATTTGTTTCACACTTCTTATATTCTTTCTGTTCGGAAAGATTCATAGCAATACTGAAGAAGTCAATGCTAGAGTTCTTTATAACAGTATAATGAGTATCTTTGACATTCACGAAGAAACCCTTTTGTTTCAAAACTACTGCTAACTCTTGTGAAGTATAACGTTTGCGGTCAATGACGATAGCTAATGGTCTGACATACTGACCAAACTTAGATTCTTTCACAAACTTCTTGTTAAAGATAACATTGACGTTTGAAGCACCATTGAACTCATTCTTGATGGCAGTAGCGAGAGCATTGTATGAAAAGAACTTGCAATCTTGCATGTGTTTCATTATAATAAAAAGTTCGAAATATTTTAAAACTAGCCTTAAAAAATCTAAGCTAATTTTTTTCTAAGAAATTTTTTTATTTCCTACTAAAGATGTATCGGAAGTTGTCTAAGTTAGAACACTCGGAAATAAAACAACTTCTTACAGAAGCTAACATAGATGTTGCAAAACATTACGCGACAAACAAAAAAGCACTCGCTGACATCCTCAATGACTACAATGGTGAAATAACTTATGATAGAATTCATGAGTTCATAAATGCAAGAGCATTTCCTTTAAATGACGTTGCTATTGACTTATATCATAGACGTTCAGTACCTCATGAAGTAAGAAGAGAAATGTTTGACATAACAAATGCGAACGTTGGTCATACTCGTAAAGCTCTTTCGCATGATGTTCGTCAAGAGATGTTTGAACTTACGAACTCAAACGTTGGTGAAACACGAAAGAGAGACACACACTGAAACAACAGAGAAGAGAGATGTTTAAAAGTGCTATAGAACAAGTTCGCAAAGCTAATAATGTCATTCGTTCCATTGACGACAAACCAAAAGAAGGTGAGAGATGGTTAAAGAAAGATGAAGAGAATAGGAAGAGGAATGTGAAGACAGGCAATAGACTCATTGACTTTAACATCGAAGCTTTAGATGAACCAAACAGAGACTACTTACACAAACATTTCGGTAAGGTTTTCATGAGACTCTTAGAGAAGATTAAAATAAACTCCCAACAAAGATGGATGGTATGTTATAAACTTGGTGGAAAGTATGAATGTTCTACGTTAAACCTCAATAATATTGGAACATTACTACATCAGCTCTTGAAGGAGAACTTTATATCAGAGATAGAAGCAAATGCTGCAGGTATTGTTGAAATGCACTATGACTTCTTCTTGACAAACATAAAGAATCTTACTGAAATAAAGATGTATGATTTAACAGAATATGAAGGCTTAACGATGTCAGATGTTAAGAAAGGAAAGCCACAGAAGCGACCATATAGAGATGAAAGCACACTGACAGAAAGACAGAAAAGATTATTGAACAGACTTAAACAAACAGGAGATAAACAAGATATAGATGACTTCTGGAATGAAATCCTTGGTGAAAAGAAGTTTTATAAGAAGAGAAGCGGTCAGTTCTGGAAGTATCTTTGCACGTTACCTATAAATCTTGAGCGCTACCAAATCTTCAATGAACTGAACAAAAGAACTGCAGCACTTATGACAGAGGACAATTGTTTCGTTTATGCTTGCATTCAGGCTGGAGTAAATGAAGAAACTATTGACCACATGAGAGAAGTCATTCGTGTTAGAGACTTTCCTCAAAGTAAAGTACAAGAAATTTCTGACGCAACAGGTATAGCATTTAATGTTACCATTGGTTACTTCAATGACTCAAGACATAATGAAATAAAGAGATACATACCAAAAGAATGTAAAACTTCGAACTATTGACTTACTTCTTGTTGAAGACCACTACATGCTAAATGAAAGACTTCCAATGACAACATATTTCATTCGCAACTATATAGAAATCTTGAAGGAGTGTGGTGGAATGAACATTGAGAAACAGATGAAGATTTATACAAAGAGAGAGAAACAAATATGTAGTTCGTTATGATAGAACAACACCGTTATGGGATGTTATGAAAACATTGTGGGAGTGCAAATATTTCGAACCTATTTCTTATGGAGAACTTTTCACATATACGACTGACTTATATAAACAGAACCTTGCACCATTTAAAGATTTGACATATGCTCCAAAGTATTGTGTACAACTGAAGAAGAAAGCCGAGTCAAAAGAAGTAAATAAAAATAAGTGCAAGTTCATTCCTGAGCACGTTTTCTTTGCTGACTTTGAGTGTAGTACCGATGGCTTTCATAAAGCTTTTAACATCTGTTATGACAGTGAAGATGGTTCAGTGAGTGAAAGCATATGGGGTCAAAACTGTGCAACAGAATTTTTGGAGCGACTTCCTGACAAGAGTTTAATATATTTCCATAACCTCAGTTATGATATAAACTTCATCTTAAGACACATGACAGAAGTGAAAGGAACTCCCATCATTAAAGGTTCACGAACAATGCAAATAACTGGTTTATATAAAGGACGGGCAATTATTATAAAAGACTCTTACAGTGTTATAAATAAGAAGCTTAAACTATTTCCTGCTATGTTTAACTTACAAACAGGACCGAAAGAAGTATTTCCATACAACTACTACAGCAGTACTTTGTTAGCAAATGACAACAGAACTGGTGTCATTTCTGAAGCATGTAAGTTTGTAAAAGATATTGAAACGTTCATGAAGAACATAGATTCCATCAAAGGTTGCAGAATAGATGAGAACCACTTCGACTTAGAAAAATATAGCACGTTTTACTGCAAACAAGATGTAAGAATTTTAAGAGAAGGTTTTGTAAAGTTCCGCAATGACTTATTGAAAGAGTTTGATTTAAACGTTTATGACTACGTTAGTATTTGTTCTATTGCTAACAAATTGTTTGAGAACAGAGTATACTTCCCGAATGGAAATCTTTATGACCTCTCAAATAAACCAAGAGAATTTATTTCGAGATGCATTCAAGGTGGAAGATGTATGTTGTCAGATAACATTAAACAAAAGAGCAAAAAGAAACTCATTGCTGACTTCGACGCTGTTTCATTATATCCATCCGCTATAGCAAGACTTTATACTTTAGAAGGAATTCCAAAAGTATTGAAGGATGAGATGTTAAGCACAGAGTATCTCATGAGACATTTATTCGATGACGACCAAAAGGAACCCATTGGTGAAAAGTTTATGTCCGGCTTCTTTGTTCTCATTAAGATAACAAAGATTGGTATACCCAGACACTTTCCTTTAATAGTTTGTGACCCTGAACTAAATCCAGAACTTAACGTTCCCAGAAGTTCAAACACTTGCTGTTTAATGTATGTTGACCATATAACATTACAAGACCTCATAAAATATCAAGGTGTCAAATGTGAAGTGTTGCAAGGATACTATTACGATGGAAACAGAGATATTAGAATAAGAGATGAAGTTAAGAAATTGTTTGAGTTAAGGTTAAAGTATAAGAAAGAAGAAAACCCATTACAAGAAATTATAAAACTCATTCTGAACAGCATTTATGGCAAAACCATTTTATCTCCTATTGAGTCAAAAATAACCATAGTAGATGACAAAGATGCTATAAGATATGCTATAAGAAATTACAACCATATAGTGAAGTTCGAAGGTTTGGATGGTTCCGATAAAACTATTTTCAAACTAACGAAAAGCATTTGCAGACACTTTAACTTTTGCCCACTTGGTGTAAATATTCTATCAATGTCGAAGAGAATAATGAATGAAGTGTTTTGCACGATTGAAGACATGGGTCTTCAAATATTTTACCAGGACTGTGATAGCATGCATATTTTCAATGAAGACATACCACGTTTAGCTCAAGAATTTAAGAAGAGATACGGTAGAGAACTTATTGGTAAAACATTAGGTCAATTTCATTCTGACTTTGCAGAAATCACAAAAGATAAACAAAGTTTAGCATACAAGTCAATATTTTGTGGAAAGAAGACTTACATAGACTTACTCACGAATGATTTAAATGAAGTTGCATTCCATGCACGTTGTAAAGGTGTAAAACAAGACGTTCTTGCTTTAACAGCTAATGAAATGTTTCCTGAAGCTATACAATGCTATTACAATGAAGATAAGAACATTCACATACCTGTTGGAACATATGACAAAGACTCTGAGTTCAGTTTAATGAAACTTTACAAAGCACTTCATGATGGTCAAGAGATTGGATTTGACTTATGTAAGTCTTCTAGTCCTTGCTTTGCTGAAAAGTTTAACTTTTCTATTCAGACTAAGACTTCATTCATAAGAAAGCTTAAGTTCTGAGGTCATTTATTTTTGTCAGCAGTGAGACCATTCATGATAAAAATAATGAGGTCATATATTTTTGTCATTTATGTATAACCATTGTCTCTCTTAAACTTTGCAATAGACAGCTTTGTTCTTCTTCCTTCTACATCTGTAATGTTTATATAATCTTTGCTATACTGTCTTAAGACATTCATTCGTCTGTATTGAGTTCCCATGAAATAGTAAAAGACATCTTCACTTGGGACATAGTAGTAATTTTCTAGAGTAAATTTAGAGTATTGTATAATTTCAACAGCATCTTCAGGAAGAGTGTCTACAATGTCAAACCAATAGCCATTCGAACCAGAAATATTTCTCATGTTTTGTCTTCTCGACACCCACCTTAAGTTTGAGATATGAAAGTCTCCTCTGTCTCTGTTTATATGGTCTACTTCTCGAAGTCCTTCAGGATTCGGTATAAATTGATTTGCAACAATTTTATGTTTAAAGAGTTTATGTTTGTTTAAATAAACACAAATATAACCATCACCGTTGTCAAACTCACTTACAACTCTTTTGTTACTTATGCGCCTAATTGGATATGGGTACTCTGAAAAGATTTCATAGTCATTGTCATGTTCGAGTGTTTGCCAATGTCCTTCACCTTCCATGCCTTTCACTCAAATAAAAATTTTCAGAAAAAATAAAGCTAGCGTAGATTTTATAAAACTGCGATGGTAGAGTTTAAGAGTTGTGCTTCAATGTATAAACAATCTTTCCCATCTGGAGGTAGCAAAACAGGTGCTTTATGGTCATGAGTGGAGTACATGTCTATCCAAAACTCACGATTGAAGCCAGTAAGCTTGTAATATTTAGGATTTGTCAGTGGTGAATTTCTTGTATGACCAATGAACTCATTTTCAACGCCTTTGGGAGTGTGGTAGAATTTACGAAAAAGTGACACTTAACCTTAAATTTCCAAACACTATTTTTTGATTGTATTTTGTTATTTATATATTTATATATATAAATATATTTATATATGTATATTTATATATGTATATTTATATATGTATATTTATATATGTATATTTATATATGTATATTTATATATGTATATTTATATATGTATATTTATGTATGTATATTTATATATGTATATTTATATATGTATATTTATATATGTATATTTATATATGTATATTTATATATGTATATTTATATATGTATATTTATATATGTATATTTATATATGTATATTTATATATGTATATTTATATATGTATATTTATATATGTATATTTATATATGTATATATTTATATATGTATATATTTATATATGTATATATTTATATATGTATATATGTATATATGTATATATGTATATATGTATATATGTATATATGTATGTATTTATATATGTATATTTATTTAAAAAAATTAAAAATAATATAATTAAAATTTATTTATATTTTAAATTTCATACTGATCTTCGATTCCAATTTGTGAATTGATATCATTAACAATTGAATTTCGGTGCACCCCTATGAGAGCGCTGGCGACCGAAACACCACTAGTAAGATTGTGTATTAGAAACTGCTTCATGCTGTGTTGAGTAAGCTTCGATGTCTTTGTAGGATAGCTTTCTGAGAGCGAAACAAGATAGTGTTGAAAAAAAAATTTTGAAAATCTGAGAGACTGTGCAAGAGCCAACGACCAAAACACTACCAGTAAGATACAGCAGTAGTAGCTGCTTCATGCTGCATTGAGTATTGTTGAATAATTTGAAGTAGTGGTTTTTGAAATCAGCACCCCTATGAGAGCGCTGGCGACCGAAACACCACTAGTAAGATTGTGTATTAGAAACTGCTTCATGCTGTGTTGAGTAAGCTTCGATATCTTTATCAGACCACCTTTAAATTAACCACTCACATTCTCACTGTGGTCCATCTAAAATTTGTAAACTTTATGACATAAAATTATATTATATGCAGGATCCCACCTATTACTTAATCTTTTTGGAATAAATGTTTTATAATATTTATCGATTGATTGTAATTTTTTGTATAAAAAAAGTTTTTTATTTATATTAAAAATATATTCGGTTAATGATAGTATCTTATAATTTGTAAATAAATCTAGTAATAAAATAACTTTAATAGTTGGTGTCACTTTTTCGAAAATTCTGGTTTTTTCCCAGTAAGCTTGTAATATTTAGGATTTGTCAGTGGTGAATTTCTTGTATGACCAATGAACTCATTTTCAACGCCTTTGGCTATATTAGAGAAAAGAATAGCTTGCTTTCTATCCCAAATGCCAGGTGTTACAATCTTTGAAAATTCATTTTTCCTCGGAAGCATTGCATCATAATTGAAAACATTCTTGAAATCATCACTTGGTTCAGAGATTTGAAATCTTATACGTAATGGATTTTCTTTCTCTTTAGCGACTTCATTGAATGGTGAGAATACAACAAACTGACAGTCATGTGTTCCATCTTCATTTTCATTAAATTCATAATGAAAGTCTATAAGTTGTGGCTGACTACCTTCTTCTTTCAGTTGTGCAAGAAACTCACGTAAAGGCTGTAAAGTTTGTACTTCAATGTTAAACTTTTTCTCGAACATTTCATTAAATGAAATCATACATTCTTGTAAAGTTGTATCGTCTTTAAAGTATTTGTATATGTGAATGTTTTGGGCGCTTAAAGACTGTTCGTCATTTTCTATCTCGACTTGAAGTATAAAGTCAACCTTTCTGAAAGCACGTGTTATATACATAGATGTTATGCCAATGTACTTCTCTTCATTTATGTTCACAATCCAGTCTGTTGGAAACTTAAACATTACTCTGTTCCCCTTTATTTTGACGTCAGGGTTTTCACTACTGAACGCAACAGATAAAGGTATTTGTCTATACATTTAGTTCCAATAAAAATAAACCATTTACTCTTTCTTCACTTCAGCTTCTTTGGCTTTTGCTTCAGCTTCTTTAGCTTTTGCTTCAGCTTCTTCTCTAGCTTTTTTCGCCAGCAAACGTGGGTTCTTCTGTCTTCCAGCAGCTAATGCAGCAAGTTGTTTTTCACTAAGTTTTCTCTTTGGTCTCTCTGGCTTTTGTTCTTGTTTTTGTTCCTTCAGTTCGGATAAAATTTGCTCGCGAATTTCTTTCTTCAATGCTTCAAAATCTATGACCCCTTGGGTCTTGTCCGTAGGGTTTGTCTGAGTCATTTGACTGCAGATAAAAAACAAAATTAAAACTTTAACCGATGTAAAATGAGCTTGTCAAAATCAGAGCGAGAGTCTATTATATTAAATGACGCAAGAGGAATACAACATCCTTTCTATTATGTAAGTCAGAGTAAAGATGGTAAAATATATGTAAGAAAAAGAAAGGTTCCATTAGCGAATGCAGAGAGCGACAACATTAAGGTGCATGGCACCGAGGGTGAAGCCCATATAAAACCTTCTGTTCAAACTGAGCCACCAAAAGAACAAGAAGAAAAGAAGCCAGATGTTCTTTCAATAACGAACCAAGAGCTTATTGCAAAGTTCGTGAATTTCATTGAAAAACAAACCGAGTCAAAGAACCCTGACCCACCAGTGAAAGAAGTTGAGACAAAAGAGAATGTACAGTTCATTGAAAATGTCAAGAAACAACTTCCACCACGAATGCCAAGAAGAAGAGTGAGAATAATGAAGTAAATAGATATTTTTATCCGAATCAAAGACATGCAGAACGAACAGTTAAACGAATTTACTCCAGCAGAGCATATTCATCAGATTCGCTCATATTTCGATATCATAGACAATGCAGTTCAAATTGGTGACACTAATAGAAAATATTCTGACGCAAAGATTCCATCACAACCTGGAACTGCTAAAGATAACACATGGGTAACATTCAATCTCTCACCTCCTGGTGAAAATATGTTGGACCTTTACAATACATTCATTACGTATAAAATGGAAGGTCAATTTATTGTAGATAAAGAAATTGGTTCAGGTTCCAATAAAACAAACCCACCAGGATTTTGGATTGGTTTCGATGACGCTTTCTATGCAGTTGCTGGATATCAAATCCTTGCAAATGGTCGTATCGTATATTCTCAAGACAACGCAAGAGAAGAAGCATATATAACTTCAAACTCACAAACTACCGAACAAATAAAGAAAGTAGATGTTTTCTCAAAGACTCGACATGAAGATGTATGGAGTCATTCGGGAACATGCAGAACAGGACAAATTGTTAGTGGTCCAATTACAGCAGGAAAATCATTTGATTTTAAGCTTCGTTTAAGAATTCCTGTTAGAAGATTCCTTCCATTAGAAGCTATTCGATTTATTCCAGCTTTTGCAGGAAACATTCAGCTTAAAGTAAAGTTCAGTAGCGACGCCTTACAATGCACATCTATATCTGTAAATGATATCATTGCTTTCAATCCAACTCTTAAAGTTGCATTTGCTTCAGATTCAAATCCACCGACAAATAAATTTGTTCCATGGAATGAACCATTCACTATGATAACGAAGGCAGTAGAAGCTAGTGGAACAGTTACTATTACAACTGTAAACCAGCAACTATTTCGAACAAAGATGGATTTTAATGAATGTTTCATTCATCCAAAGTCATTCTCTTTAGACCCTAACATTTATACAGAACTTGTAGAACATTATACAACGAGGCTTTATGTTTTCCTGTTAAAGTTATGGATTGGATTCCTATGGACGGTTCATTCTCAAAGAATACAGATAGTTCAAGTGCAACATTTACAGCAGCTTATACGCCTATTAATGTTAAAAGTATTTGGGCACTATTTAGAAAGAAAGGCAACTATTATGTTAATTTTGAGAACCCTAAGTTTAAATATCTTCAGCTTTCCATGGGAGCTTATGGAAATATGCCTGCAGAACCTGAAAAATCATATGGACCTGTATTTTATGAAATGGTTGCGAACGCTTGCAATACAAACAATGATATGATAGGATTTAATGAAGATGTTATGAGGTCATTGGTGGATGATGGTAGTGTGGAACATAAATGGGATAGCTATGACAACACACATTTCTTATGTGGTTTTCCAACTGAAGTGGACTTTTGCTTCCAGCAAGGTCAAACATCTACTGCTCCAATAACATACAAATTGTCTGTTAAAGGACCTATTGAACTAGCAACTGAAAACGTACCAAAGCCACTTATTGGATTTATGAGGGATTGTTGCTTTGCAATACAAGTAAGACAGTCAGGCATACCGATAATAAGACTTGACGACTATAACTTAGCAACTGACGACAGTGAGGAATAAAGGATGAACGTTTATTTTTAAAGCTTATAAATGAGTTCTTCATCAAGCTCTCGTGAACCTTCACCATCTGTGAAACAAACTTTACCAAACGATTATGGAGCACCTATTGAATATTTCTTACGAGCTGCACAATGGCAAAGAGCAGTCTCACCAAGGTTAGGTGTTCCACCAGCTCCTGTCAAAAATAGCATTTGGTCAAGTCCTTATATAAGATATGGTCTCCCACTAGGTTTGCTAGTTACAGCAGGAGCAGTAATGATGTTGAAAAGAAATAAAGCAAATGTTGTAAATAATACTGAAGTAGCTGAAGTTAAACAAACTCCGACACCTTCGCCAAAACCAACGCCTTCACAAGCAAAACCTTCAATGACTCCTGAACCTATGGAAGTACAAACTCCTGTTCAAAAGTCAACTCCTAAACCGACTCCAACATTTAAACCAGAACCTACTCCTCAAATAAATCGTAAAACTCCTGCGTTTCCTTACTGAAAAAATAACGTTATTTTTATTTAATATTAAAATTTTTATTTGATTGAAATGACGACTAAAGTCACTGAAGCAATGAAACAAAAGTTTTTGGTAGAATACATTAAATCAGGAACTATTCCAGAAGGTTTTTACATTCATACTATGAAGGATGGTAGAGTTCAGTTTAGAAAGATAAAGCAACCATTAGATAGAGAAAGTATATTAAGGAAGATTAAACTTCATGAGGACAACATTGCTGAACTTAAGAAGAAGTTAGAAGAGTTGGAGAAAGGAAGAGGGTTATAAAGCAATGAATTCAACAGGGTGAAAAAAGAGGTGAAAAAAGAGGTGAAAAAAGAGGTGAGATCTCACCACTTCACCTAAATTTATTTTTGTGCTATGTTTTCATACGTGTGAGGGTGGTGATATCATTTATTTTTAAGTTTATTTTTATATAAATGACAGAACAAAAATATAACATATCTACTCAACAGGAATGAGACCCTTACTGACTATGTATTCGTTTAATGCTTGATGAAAACAATGGTACATATTATCGTATGGGTATACACAGCGTCTGTTTCCATCGTCGTCGTATATGTAGAGCTCAAATCCAGTCCAACCTTCTTTTGTACAATATGTAGCTTTATTTAAGTATGCATTTATGTAGATAAGGCAATTTTCTTCATCGCTCCAGAAATAATTTTTGTTCTTTGTTGAAATAGTTTTCGTTCCTCTGCGACCATAAGGAATGTATGCAATGAACTTTGCGTCATAAGGGATTGTAATATATTCAGGGTTTCTTTCATCGTCAATGGGTCTGTCTTTGTTAAAATGCATGTTTCTCAGTTTTACTTGAGTTTTGAATAGTTCACGGAAACGTTCTGGGAAAGAGTCATAGTAAATGTAGTCGGACATGTCTTTGTAATGAAATAAAAAATTTAAAAAAAATAAAAATAAGGTTATTTTTTATTTAGTGAGGACGGTAGTGAATTCGTTAGTGAGTTCGTTAGTGAAGTCGTTTATGTGTCAGATAGTTTTGTAAATATTTAAGGTTAAGTTGGTGTTTGTGTTTGTGTTGTAAAATATACGTTACCAGTTTCGTAAAGTGTCAAAACCGCTAAGTGGTGTACGGAGGCGCGCAGTGCCACAGTACACAACTTAGGGATACTAACTCGCTTCGCTCGCGGCTTTCTTTATTATTTTAAATTTGCATATTTCCATCAAAAGTTCATAAGGTAAAAAATTTCGTTTATTTTTACTAAGAAAAAAAAGGTTTTTGATAATAAATTTATTTTATTTCGAAAAAGTAGCAATAATCGTAAAAGGGTATTGATAGGCTTGCTAAAGTAACTAATTTTAGCTGTCAAATACTTTTGTATTTTGAAGTAAATTAGTATAAATTTGATATTATTTTAACTCCCTTTGAAAACCTCAATTTTCCATACAGAGGGAACGGGAATAGCATCCAATATTCCCTGAGAATGGTTGCGCATTCTCAGTTCCCTCTATATTTCGAACGAAGCTCTCATCGGTCTTTTTTTTGTTGTGCATGAAAAACAGCGTGACTTCATTTTTGACAAAAAGTGACACTATTTCTAATGGTTTTGTCATTTATTTGTCAGATTTATAAATGGATAATAATGCTGTAAATCAGATATTAATTAAAAATATTTAAGATTTATGTTCGAATTGAAAAGCAAAATGATATTTTTTTTAATTGAAAAACGTTAATATCTGATATTTTGAAGTTTTTAATATTTGTTAGTATCTTAAATTATTGAATGCATACGTTTTTTATGTTCTCAATTTTAAAAAAATTGTGAAGAATTTAGTTTTTTGGAGATGGATGTTTAATATTTGTGAGTGAGAATGCAAGCAGGAGTTTGGTACTTTAAGGCTAGGTTGAGATAGATTTCCCATTATATTATCTGTGAATATATTGTTTGAAAATTCAAGATATAAAAATATATTATCAAAAAATTTTATATTTTTAAATACAATAGGGTGGAAATATAGTACGATGAGATAGCAATGATATATTTTATAATGGGAGGTAATCTGAAGATAAGTAGCAAATTTTATGCGATTTTGATTGGGAGTTGGAGGGTGTGAGTACTATAGCATGTAATAGTATCTCACACCCTCCAATTCTTCCTATGGCGCCGAAAAATTTTTGGTGAAATGCGACGACATTTCACCAAAAATTTTCGGCGCCATATAGAGAACTATAGTCTGCGAGGTACTGATTCTATCTATGTACCTCGCAGACCATAGTTCTCAGCCAAAATGGCTAATAATTTGAGAGTCTATATGATAATGTAAAAGTTAAAACATTCAAGTATTTAAGTATTTCTTTAAAATATTAAGTTTTTTATTTTTCCAATAAAATTCTAATATCAAATATTTTTATTTAACGATTAATTTTATTTAAGGGTTTCGTTTTGCGAAAAAAACGTACAATACGCAATTTCGCTAAAAAAACATTTAGCTAGCAATTTCGACCTTTGACTCCACTCAAGACGTCACTTTTTTAATTTTGCGGTATCATATTTTTGGAAAATCTTTATGAATATAGGTCAGGTAGATGGGGCTTCCAGGCACTTCGTGCCCTCTAGCCCCGGAGAAACTAGAGGAGGAATGATACAAAGACCAGATGAAAAAAATAAAAATATTATAATAAAATTAAATTTTTAGTCTTAAATTGTTTTTTTTTATTCGGTATATTCTGAATCTTGAATGTCTTGGAAATTTTCTTCTTCTTCGCTCTCTGAGGTGAGGATTTCTTCGACTTCTTCTTCTTCGCTCTCTGAGGTGAGGATTTCTTCGCCATTGGGAGCAACAAATCCTGCGATGAAAACTTTGTATATACCTTCTTGAGGAGTCTCTATGATGAAAGTCGTATTGTTGAGGAAATGGAACTCGACATCTTGAACAAATTGGCAACTGCTGTGTGTGAATTTTGCAATTGTGAGAGGCTTTCCTTTATAGCCCTTGGGAAAGCTTGAGATAGTTACTGTTCCTCCATATGGAACTCTGGCAGGAATATCTAAAGCAACAGTTGTTATAACGTGGAAATTGTCTAAGAATTGAGGCATAGGTTCAATGCAGTATAGTCGTTTTGACTGGTTGTCTTTTGTGTAGAAATATAAATAGAATGACCTTTCACCATGTTCATTCAATTCTTCCAAATAATTGTATGAATTTGGATATAAACGGACAAATTCAGCAATTTTAACTTCTTGTAAATGCTTCTGCAAGTTCTTTGGAAACAAGTGAATGAACTGGTCAATAGCTTGCAACGCTATGAGATTGGCAGTAACGGGTAAATATGAAGCAAACATGTCAACAAGTACGCCAGGGTCTTTGATTTCGTTTTCAAGAGGCTGAATGGCATCCATGACAGCTTGAAACATCTCGTTATAATCTCGATTGTCTTCTGAACCCCACTGTTCATTTAACTTATCTAACAATTCTAACCTTTTCTTTGCGTATTTTCTACGAACTTTCTCTGAAAGAGGAGTGTCGCTATCTTGTGTGTCTTGAATTTGAGACTTAAATTGTTTGCTAAAGGCGAGATATCGTGTTTGCGACCTAGTGGTCATTGCAGAATGTTCGATTGGATGTGTTTCTGTATTTTCGGGTGGTTGTGTTTCTGTATGTTCGATTGGAGTCTGATTGGTATGAACTTCTTCTGAAAATGCTTCTGTTCCGATAGTTGTTGTTGCCTGACCTGTTGGCTGAGCTGTTTCTTTGTGCAAATGCATATTGTCCAACAATTTGTCTTGAATTGTATGAGGAAGTTGCTTTGGTATTATAGGAGGTCGTAAGGGTTTTGAGAATGGTGAGACATAAGTTGTAGGAACTTTAACTGCAGAGGTAGTCGAAGAATTGTTTGCGACACTTGTTCTTCCTTCCATTATGAAAAATGAACTGTTTTTTTCGGACTACTCATAGAAAAGTTTAAAATAAACCGTTTTCGTCAACGGTAACCCCCTCTATTTTTTTATTTTATTTAATAGTTACCGTTGGCAAACCGTTCCATCTCAAATATTGAATGAACTATAAACGTTTTTTGTTTTCTATATATACTTTTTTGTCCAACGGTAAAACTTTTTACACAACGGTTTTTGAGAGTCGTCGCCGTTGACTTTTTTTGTAGAGCACTCAAAATAGTATAACTTTGTCCGGACAAGTAAGGGTCTATCGTCGCTACAGGAAAAGTTACAGGCGTTCCAAGGAAGTATACTTTGAGAAGCCTTTTCCCCTTATAGAATGAGATAGGACGGTTATTTTACAAAACTGACAACACTTTGACCGAGTAGTTTTTTGTGCTGAACAAAAAGTGTCATATAAACATCTGTCAAAAACCGCTTTTTAACTTCACTTAAAATGCCACGTAAGCTACGTAAGAATATACGTAAGAGGAAGGGAGCATTGAAACATCCAATAGTAAAACTGACACCACAACAACAGTTGCAACAACAAATTATGAATGACCCCACTATGTTGCAACAAATGTCAAGCAACCCTATGCTTTTAAACCGAGTTATTGGTGCACAGAGTGGAGGTTTAAGAGCGGCACTTTTAGCGAAAATGGCAGGCTATGGTGGAGCTGCAGACGGAACAGCTTATAACCCTCAAAGTCAAATGAATTTGAGTTCACTCAAAAATCAAATAACAGATGTCAAAAAGTCAAACATAGACATACAGAAACAAATAAGTGAAAACGAAAAGAAACTAGAATATTGACAGACACACAAGAAACTCAATGAGTTAAACGTAGAGAAAAAGAAGAAAGAAGAACAACTGAAAGAACTAAGTACAGAGGAATATGCGAAAAAAGTGTCAGAAAAAAGCAGCAGAAGTAGCAAAAATGGAACAAGATGTTATAAATTTGAAAAACCATACTACTCAATATAAAGTACTGAAAATGAAGAAATAAAACAAAAAGCCCTGAAGACATATATGGATAGCGATGAGTATAAAAAAGAAGTTGAAGCAAATGTAAAGGCAGAAAAAACTTTACAGTTGCAAAACCAAACCGTACAGTATGAAAACTTAGCACAAGAAAGTAAAAATAACGACGCAGCCATGCAAAAGGCAATGAAAAGCGCAGAATATATAAAAGCTAATAATGACTGGTTAGATGCCCAAGCCAACGCTAAAGCAGCCCAACTTATAGGGTCAATAAGGACAAAAATACAAGCGGATGGAAGACAGTTCAAATGAAGCTTTAATGAATGCTGACTTTAAGAACGCCTTCGAAGCTCTTCATAGTAAGGTGAAACTAGTGAACGACTTCTCATCTGGAAAGAAACTGAAGTCTGAAGGTTTCGACAAAGAGTTAAGAGAAGTAGCACAAATATGACGAAAATAACAGATGCAGCAACGAGACAGGCAGTTCAAAGTGCCTATGACGCCGTTAGAGCAACTGTTGTGGAAAGTCAAGAAAAAGAGTTACAACAGACCAAAACAGACCTAGTAAATGCTTTCTTAAAAACGAAAAGTCAGGTAGGACATTATGCTGCAGATGGACATATGTGCCAGCTGGTGGAATTATATACTAGCTAGTGGAACTTATATACCACAAACCCTCCAAGAGAAGCACCTGCACCAGGACTACCTTAAAACATTTACATCGTCACATGGACACAGGACACAGGCATGCACCAAAACCAACACAACAACCAACAGTTCAAAACACTGCACCACAACCAACAGTTCAAAACACTGCACCACAACCAACAGTTCAAAACACTGCACAGCAACACAACCACAAACAGAGCAAGGACATAAAAGAAGTAGAGAACAAGGAAACCAAGAATTCTTAAAAATGCTTAAGGAAAATTATGGTTACCCAGATACTCTTGACTTTAGTGACAGATATAAAGAAGCTATTAGAAAGTTCAAGGAAGGAAATACTGACCCGAACCTATTTAGCTTTATGGCTCAGCAAAATGGGATATAATTTCAAACCTGGAAAATACAAGCTCGCTAAGGGATATGATTTAATAGCATATCATCCAAATGACATGAATGAATTTACTCCGAGATATTTGGTGTCAGAGCTAAATGATAATTCAACTCTCTTCATGAAACGCGTAAAAAATAGAGACGGAACGAAAGAAAGGTTATGAATGCGGATGACTTAAATAGGGAACTTTTTAAAAACGGTCTCGGAATATATGAAATGCCAGCAGATGAGGTACAAGAAACTCCACAGGAAGAAGTTCAGATACAACCAGACATGGAAGAAATAGTTCAGCAACAACAGCTAGAAGAGCCTGAAGGAAACGAACAAGTCCCTCCTTTGGAAACTAACTTCACAGAACTAGATGAAGATTTGGAACAGCCGAAAAATCTTGACCCTCAACAAGAGTATGCGGAGAATATGGAATCTTTCCAAGAGTCTAAGAAAAATTCGGCTGACATAGTAGAAGAATATCGAAAAATGTTCGCCGACATACAAAAGACTCCAACATCAGATGAAAATATTCAGCATAGAATGGAAGAACTGAAAGAAAGTGTACGCAAATACAACAATCCTTTTTACTTACGACCATATAACGTTCAATCTTTGGCTGAACTCGGTGAAAATAAAAGGTTAAATTTCACCAAAACATATAGAAATGAAACATTGTTTAAAGTTCATTCAGAACCTAACCAATATGGAAACAAACCTACTTTTGTTTCTGCAGACTATGGAACTACAATGAGATGGGGTCATAAAGCTAATCCGGATAGGTGGTTCATAAACTTACAACCACAATTCCAAGAAGTTGTAGACGCAATGGAAGTGAATGGTGAACCAGATATAGCTGGTATTTTCAGCGCGGCTTTAATGCCATTGAAAGATATGAAACATGCAGATATTTTGGACCAGTATGAAATGAACATGGCTGATGGAAATATAACACCTGACGTTCTAGAACATTTATCTCAAAGAACTACACAGAACCATAAAGATGGTATATTTGGTGAAGAGTTTAGAAAGAAAGTTAGGGAGAGAGAAGGAAGAGAACCTATTGTACATGACCTTGCAAACGAAAGTTTACAAAATGTCATAAAAACTTACTTTGCAGACAATGAACCGAGAATGGATGAATATTTAAGAAAACTCAAATGGACAGTACCAAATGAAATGTTAGTATTGAAAAACATGTTCCTTGACAAAATAAAACCAACTACAGAAATAAATGACGCAAGACTGAAACATTGGGTAAAAGCTTTCCCATTCACAAAAGATATTATTGGTAACATGGAAAGAAAACCAGAATGGCTACAAAAACATATATTTGGAAACGAGCTTATTCCATATGGACAAGCTCTTCAAACAGAGCTTGAACCGGAAACTCAGGAAAGAGTCATGCAAACAATACGCGAAGACTCAAATACAAACTATGACAAAATCTTTCTAGGATATAGGTTACCTGAGATGGGCGACCAGAGCCCAAAGGCAAAAAGGACATGGGAAATTTACAACATACTAGGTGAACATGAGGCAAAGATGCAACAACTTGAAGCAGAGGGCAAGTTACCAAAAGCGACACCAAAGAAGAAGAGTAGAACAAAGTGAAAATAGTGAAGAAGTAACTTCATCTAGTGAAAGTAGTGGCAATGAAGGAAAAAGAAGAGTTAAAAACTCAGTCAGGAAGAAAGTAAAGCTTGGTCCGACTATTATGACAAATAAATCCAACTATTCTATATTTTTACCCATATGAAATGTACGCCGCTCAGAATATAACGCCAACAGTTTTGGATGCCATGAACGGAAATGTTTCCGAATGGTATAACGAATGCGACAATGCCATTAGAAGGTCAGAAATAGTTCCTGGAACTTACGAATATACAACTGCTGTTTCTTATGGAAACGTAGGTGAGTTTGGAGAAGGTTCTTCAAAACAGTAGATATTGCTTGCGACAGGTTTCATATTATTTCTATTGACAACTCATTCTTATACGTGGAACAAGACATTGAAATAAAACCTTCTGCCAAGTTGTCTGACAAGAAAGGTTGCAATGGAATTTTCTATGTCGGATACCAATATGCTCCAGAAGTTTTCATGGGATATAAGATATATTCTAACTCTGACTTAGTTCAAACAGTAACATGGGCAAACTATGAATGGTTCGCTTTGAGAAACTCAGTACAACCACAAGCTAGAGAACAAACAGACCAAGTATGCAAATATTGAGAAAATAAGAAGACTTGACCCTAACGTTCCAGGAGTTTATGTTAACCTTTCTGGTTCAGATGGAAATGCTGTCACTAAAGTAAAACTGAAACTTAGAGTTCCTTTGTCATCTTTCCTCATCTTCAGGTTTTTAAGATACTTGCCAAACTGGGCAGGAAAAATTTCTATCGAACTTACTCCAAGCAAAAATAACTTAGTCATTGCACCAACACAAGACCCATTCACTCTTACAGACGTAAGGGAACAAATAAAACGTCATTCGCCGACTTTTGCAAAGACAAAGTTGACTTAGACTTTGGTTTCTCAAACTTCAACAATGAAGTAAACTATTATTTCAATGCTGCTGGAACTGCTTGGGACCCAGTTAAGTTACATGCGAAAAATTTGAATGCAAGAGAATAGAAAGCAGACTTGCAGTCTATATGTTGGACCCAGATATTTCAAATGCTTTAGCTGCCAAATATATTGCAGTTCCACTTATGTTCCCTATACACCAAATATCTGTCAAAGACTTTGCAGGTGAAGTTGGAAACCAAAGTGCTGACCCAGGTGCAAGAACAGATATTGCTTTAACAACTGCAATGAAACATGCAGATACTATGTTTGTACTGTTCAGACGAACTATAAATGACTATTCTTGTTTCTACAACCCCGGTATTAAATATCATATAAACATAGATGGCAAATATTATCCAAGAGAAGAATATTCTACAGTTGAGGATATGAGGTCATACAACTTGACATTAGATGCTATGAACTTTAACAACAACTTCACAACAACCATTAACCCTGAAATGCAAAGTTCTATTATGCCATATGTGAAAGTATGGACTCATACAGGAGGTCAAAAAACTCAATATACAAATGGAGACCGTTCAAACTTTTGGCTTGGCATTCCATTTGCTGACTCAGAAGACTTTATGGGTGGTATTTCAACTGTTGGTACTGTACAAATACAATATACTGGTGACAGAGACGGTCCAGATGAATTGAAAGCAAAGAAGTTTACAAAACCAATAGCACTTTTCACGGAAGATGCTCTTTTGAAGATTCGTTCGATGAAACCTGCTGGGGCTCCTCAGATTGGCATAACGACAGCTTCCATCGAGCAGATTTTGGCAGCAGGTCAGTAAGTTGTTCTTGAACTGACTTCTCTCCGTCAAATATTGACAGTACGCCAGTTTTGACATAATATTGTAAGATAAACTTACCTTTAGAAATATCTGTAAGTTTTGTTGTTATATTTTTGTCAACGTCAAGAACTTTCACCATTTCAGTTATACTAACTTTCTTTGCTTTATGAAAATATTTTGGTTCAGCAAAGACTGCTATTCTATAACATTTACCATTGTTTGTATAAAGAACTATTCTGTCAATGTATTTGTATTGTTTGTGTGTGTAAACTTTGTTCTGCTTCAATTCGAAGAGATACTCGAATACGTCCATCTTTTTATTCTAAGTAAAATGTCATTTCCGAAAAATAGAAGCGTGAATGTTTCAAAAGGTTTAATGGCGGTGGCAGATGTGAAGTTAAATTCACCAACTCAAACAAACAGTCAAAGTGTTGTTGTCAATGGCAAAGACAGAGATGTTGAAGTGGGGAAACCATACGAAGACGAAGATGGTATAACAATTGTTCCTGTAAAAGAACAACCAACATATCCTGAAGTTAGCAGAGACTTAAGTTCTGTTGCAGATATTCGAAACGACTACCAACAACTGAAAGACAAACTTCAAACTCAGGAGAAGATTTGTCAAGCTTTAAGTATAATGTTAAACTTGGTCGAACACAACCCTGTAAAAGTGAACTCATATGTCATTGCACCTCATGAAGTTTTGAAAGAACTATTGAAACTTTTGACAGAGGCAGACGATATAAACATCAAAGAAATAGAACCCGACATTAGTTGCTGTGGTGTTTCATATAATGCCATTGACAAGATATACGTTATGAAAGGAGGTGAAACGTTGAACTTAAAATATAGTTTCCCAGACGTTATAAAAATATTTGACGACCACAACATTTCATTAAAATTTATTTGCTAAGTAAATGGCAGAAGACATAATGGTTTATACTATTACGACTAAAAACCCTGAGTCATATAATTCTATAACAACAAACTTACAAAGTCCTCAAGGACGATATTGTAAACTAACCTTAAACACAATGACGACTAAAGCCTGTTTTGCTCTTTTGACACCAGAGAGACTTTATTGTTGTGAATGGTAAAAAATACTCCTTTGAAGATACTTACTCAGATATACCACCAACAGGTTTTGTTGACTTATTTAATACTTTAAGTACGGGTGTAACATGTGCTGCAACTAGAGCAGGTTTCATTATGTTTGGATGTCCGACTGAGTTTACTATAAACAATATGAGCTATAATACAAAACTTATATCTGGTTTTTACTACCAACAGTTTCCTATAACAGGAAAAGGTGTCATACAGGAATGTCTATTCCATTGACATTAAGCACACCAATCTTATATATTGTTTCAAACTTAGGTTCAAAGTGTTATTCGAATGTCGACAGAAACTATTATGACCAAAAGATACTTATGCGTATAAACAATACTTTCTCTGCTGGTTTGCCTATTGTTCATTCGAATGCAGAATTTTCAACCTTAGTGAACTCAAACACTTTGGCAAGTATAACGTTGACATTAGTTGACGCAAACTTTGTTCCTGTAAAACTTTTATGTCCTATGTATTTGTCAATGACGGCAGAAAGTTTCGAATTGGAAGATGCAACTGGTGAAAGTATTGTATTACAAGAACAACTTCAACAACAAATAGCTCAAGAACAACAAATGCAACAAATAGCTCAAGAACAACAAAGTCAAGAATAAAAAAAATATTTTTTTTATTTTTATAAAAATGTACAGAATAGATGTTTCAGATTTTTATGACTTCCAAGCATTCAGAAATATGTGTCCATTTAGAGACTATAACAAAGCAGTCGAGAATTTGAAACGTTTAGTCATTTATGTCGACTCTGCCCCAGAATGTTATGTTATGAAAGAATGGGATGTAGTCTTTAACAAACCTAAAGCGACAATAGTGTTCAGAACAAGAATGTAGACAGAAACTTAAGAAATAAAAGTCGTACAAGTTGGCATGAAGATGTTAGATGCTTGGGATATCTTATTGTCAAAGTTAGAAGATTTTTCAGTTCGAGGTATAAAGTTCTATACACCTTCTCCAAACTTCTATTCTATCTTCACTGGATATAAATACGAACAAGTAGAATGGAAAGAAAATATTATAGAAGCTTGGTTAGACCATGTCAAAGAAATTATATGCAATGGAAACGAAAGAGTCTATGAGTATATCTTATGTTGGTTTGCAAATCTTACAACATCCAAGTGCTAAAAATGAAACTGCTCTCATTATAATTGGAAAACAAGGAACTGGTAAGAACACATTCTTTACAGATATTTTGTGCAAACTGTTAGAAGGTTATTCGAACCGAATATGACAAACTTAGAAAACATCTGTGGCAAGTTTAACTCCTCAATAGAGAATATGAAACTTATAGTTTGCAATGAACTTCAAAGTATAATACAACAAAAGTTTTGAACTCAGATGCTTTGAAGAGTCTTATAACAGACAAAGTTGGAGTTGTTGAAAGAAAGTATAAAGACCAAAGAGTTTGTGAAAATGTTGCAAACTTCATTATGGTTTCAAACAATGCTGTTCCGATGAAGTTAGAAAGTTCTGACAGAAGATATGTAGTTGTCAGAACGTCAGATTCTCATATGCAAGATACAGAATATTTTGACGACTTAGCAGAAACTTTGACATCTGACTTTTACAACCACTTGTTCTCATATTTTATGACATTAGATATTTCTAAGTTCAATCCAAGACAAATTCCACATACCGAAGAGAGACAAACATTGTTAGAAGCAAACAAGAGTGTATATGAACTGTTCATAGATGAAACTGACTTTGTGTCATTAGATGAAAGGTCATTGTACGATTCGTATAAACAATATTGTCAAGAATATGGTTATATGGCAGCGTCTAAACGTACATTCTTGGCAAATGTCAAAAGTCTTTTAGACGTACAGAATGGTGTATATACAAAGAAAATTTTTCTGAGTAAATTTAAAAAAAAATATTTTTTTATCCGATAGAAAAGATGACGAAATTCATCTCAGTAAACAAGTACATGTCAGGACTTAAAGAAGAACTAGACCCATTCACATATTTGAATGTTTACTTCTACCATTTTGAAAAGTCTTCATTCAGCAAAGTTTGGAACATCGAACAGTTAAGTTTGCTATTGTGACTAAAAATGGTGCGAAATTTGAAGACTTAGACATAGAAGGTTTGTTAACAGTCAAAGAAAGTTTTGACAGAAGGTTCTCAAACCTTAAAGAAGGCAAAGCATACAAACTTGTTATACCTTATGAACCAAAGAAAGCAGACGACTATGAATATTATGAGTCTAAGATAGTTGAAGTTCAAGGTAAATTGGGTAAAAAGATTTTAGAGTCTAAGCCAGTGTTTGCTCCTAAAGAGGAAGAGAACATTGACATTGACCCAGAAATGTTCTAAAAATAAAATTTTATTTTTACATGTCAAATTTCTTTTTCTCTGGAACTGGTTCAGGTTCTTTCTTCTCTTCTTCTACTTTCTTTTCTTTCTTTTCTCTCTTCTTCTTTCTGGTGGAGTTATGTCAAATTTGGCGCAACTATATTTATGTAAAAGTTCTTTGTCCTTTAATAGCTCATCTATTCTGTTTTCTATTTCATCTTCAAGAACAGCGCATGTGTCTTCTTTGCATTCTAAGAAGTTTTGTTGGACTTCATCTCTCCAAGAGGCGTCATCTCTGTCAACAAGTCTGTCATTGACAAATTTTAAGACTGCTCTGCTTAATGTTTTATGGTTCTTGTCATATTCCCAGAAACAGAACTTTAGAACAAATTCACCTTTCTTGTTTACACTATGTAAGATTTTATGGTCGACAGATGTTTTGCTGTCGAAAAGCTTGTCTCGAATATAGATAGCGAAATCGCTAGACATTTTCTAAAAGATAAAAATTTTAATTTTTCTAAAAATATGTTAGAAAAAAAGTTTGCTGACATTGACAAGAAATTTGAGAATGTTTTAAACAAGAACAAGAGGAAGTTAGAAAATGCTCAGATAAAGCCTATACATGACAAGTTCTTATTTGCTCAGAATGGTATAACAGGTCTAATTGCACCACCTGGGTCGGGTAAGACTTTCACTTATCTTAAAATGGCTGCACAACAACAAGAACTAGATGAGAAGAACCCATTCTATGAGTTAGTTGTTATTTGTAGTACTTCTGGTCAATTTGACCAAACCGTCAATTCGTTCAAAGATATTATAAAGAAGTCTAAGTTAGTATGTATAAAGGATACTGAGTTGTTAGATTGGATAAAGAAGTACCAAAGAAGGGTTTTGAAGTACAATGCTATAAATGAGTATGTCAATTCGAAGTTTAAAGACCCAAATGAGGAAATGCAGAGAATATTAGAGAAGAAACACTTCAGAAACAAACAGAAAGAGATAGAATACATTTCGAAGAAATTGCAATCTTACGATTGGAAGACATACCCTCATAGGTGTCTTCTTATCTTAGATGATTTCGCCTCTCATCCTTTGTTAAAGAATAGAGAACAAGATATGTGTCGAATTCTTAAGAAGCTCAGACACTTTAACATCTCAGTTGTCATTTGTGTACAGACAGCAAAGAGTTTAAGTAAGGATGTAAAGAGAATACTTACTGACATTGTACTTTTCCCCGGATTGTCCGAAGACGATTTCATGGAACTTATGAAAGAGTCCATGGCAGGTAAGTTTGACAGACATGAACTATGGGAGAAGTACAAAGTCATACAAGACCCTCATACTTCTTTCAGAATTCATATCTACGCAAACAAAGTTCAAATTGTAAAAAGTCAAGCTTGAAAAATAAAGAGTTCATTTACTCTACTTGTTTGAAGTTGTCAAAATACTCTGTTATTTTTTCCTTTAACAATGGCAAATCTTCTTTGAAGGTAAGTATTGTACAACCTTTCATATCATAGTGTGTTTGAGGTAACGTATCTTGAACTATTTGTTTCACATCTTCATTTGGGGTCATTGAAATCGGTAAGTTTTCGCGATAGAACCAATTTCTGTCAGATTTGTAAATCTTAGCAAGGTCGTAAAAGCTTTTGTTGTTTCTTCTGACTAAATGCAACATAACCATATCTTTATCTTCTTCATTTTCCATCTCTTCAGTATAAATCATATACTTATAGTTCTTTTCCTTTCCTTTTGGTACCGAACGTGGTATTCTTTTCTGAATGCTTTTGTCTTTTGCTTCAAGCTTGTTTTCCATCTCTTCACGTTCTTGTCTATGAATTTCGTCAAGAAGTCTGTAAATATACCAAGCATAACGAGGCGAAGCCCACATTGCAACAGCATTTACAAGAAGTCTATGTACATAATATCCTCTCAAACCGTTTGGCAATTTTTCACGATTTTCGTACGGAATCTCGACTCGTGGTTTTCCTCGGGTCGCAAACATATGAGGAAATTCTTCTAAAAGTTCTTTTGTCTGTTGGTTTTCAAACCAATGATGTGCTTGCTTTGTAGAACGAAGAGCATTCAAAATACTTTGCATTTGGTACATGTCATCTTTGACTGAACGAATGAGACGTAACTGTTTGTTATACTGTATGTACTCGTATTCTTCATTTATGGCTTCATGAACGATAGCAGTTGTTGTGTTCTCTGTTGTTGACATATCTGTCTTTACATACAAAATAAAAAAATTTGTTAGAAAAAAATTAGCGTTATTTTTACATTATGACACGAAGTGAAGGTTTGCACTTCGTCAAAAATTAGCGTTATTTTTACATTATGACACGAAGTGAAGGTTTGCACTTCGTCAAATTTTAGCGTTATTTTTACATTAGGACACGAAGTGAAGGTTTGCACTTCGTCAAAAATAACAGTTATATAATGAAAAAGTGTCATTTTTTTCATGTCCGAAGACTCGAAGGTGCAACACTTCCAAAATACCGACGAACTCAGAAGAGCAGCATGGCAGTATGTTCTTGACAACTTCTTTGAGTTCTCCAGGTACACCTTGGAAAATGCTGAAGAACTCCGACACAGAGAATTTGGAGAAATTGCACTCCAATACTACCTTGACAAACAAAGGGTAAACAAAGGGTAAACAAAGGGTAAATTAAGACTAAAAACTTAACGTTTAAAAAGTGACGTTTTTATGAGCTCCGAGTCACCGAGAAAACTTGGTCAGATGTTAGCAGCTTACTTCCCCGAGGAGGATGGAAGCGTTACATACATCAGGTTCAAAAACAACGAACCTGGAATTGCGTACAAAATTCGCAATTACATGACCATGGAAGAGTACGAAAGGTTCCTACAAGAGAAACCAGCTCTAAACAACTCAGAAAAGAAAGAATAAAAAGTTTAACTCGTAATTGTTTATTTTTTTTACTTGTATGGGCAAGCTGCAAGAATGAAGTCGACTATCTCAGTCTTTGTCTTGACCAGTTGGACGGCTCTTGTGAGTATGTCTGTTTTGCGGTCTCCAGCTGGTGTCTGACCTTCGTAATTGCGCATGTTCTTGAGAGCTCCAACTGTAAATGGTTGTAGGATGAAGAGTCTCTCAGACTGCTTGAGGTAGTCTTCACGGTCACGAACCGAATCTGTGGTACGAGTCGAATCGGTTGATTTGAGGGAAGAGAGTGAGAACCTGTCTTCTTCCATTGGGGTAGTAGCATACTCTTTGCGTAAGCGGTTCAGACCTTCCTCGAACTCTTGGTCTCTCTTGGATTGAGATTGGAATTGTGGGGCAGGGTTTTGCATAAACATCCAAGGGTTGGGGAAGTAAGGCATAGGCTGAGGAGGGTAGTTCGGGAAGCCTTGTGGTGGGTAGTAACCTTGAGGTGGAAATTGGTAGTAAATCGGAGGTACTTGCTGGAACTGAGGTGCAGGGGCTGGTGCTTTAGGTTCCTCTGGTTTGGGAATGGACTGGGTTGGTGGTACGTCGGACATTGTCTTGAAACAGTACAAATATTGTTCTGAAGCAGTGCAAGTCTTGTTTTGAAAAAGTACAAGTATTGTTCTGAAGCAGTGCAAGTATTGTTCTGAAAAAGTACAAGTATTGTTCTGAAGCAGTGCAAGTATTGTTCTGAAAAAGTACAAGTATTGTTCTGAAACAGTACAAGTATTGTTCTGAAAAAGTACAAGTATTGTTCTGAAAAAGTACAAGTATTGTTCTGAAACAGAAAATTTTTCTCACAAATTGAGAGCTTTTACGGGAAATTTGTTCTGAAAAAGTACAAGTATTGTTCTGAAAAAGTACAAGTATTGTTCTGAAAAAGTACAAGTATTGTTCTGAAGCAGTGCAAGTATTGTTCTGAAAAAGTACAAGTATTGTTCTGAAGCAGTGCAAGTATTGTTCTGAAAAAGTACAAGTATTGTTCTGAAGCAGTGCAATGGACAACATCGAGCCATTAGATGAGGCAATTTACCTTATAGAGATAAATGAAGTTGTTAAGCAGTACTTGGGCAAGGACAAAGCCAACAAGTCCCTCGGCTTCTGGTTGTCTGGAAGAGGTGCGCTGAAAATCGAAATTGAAACCGGAATTCCAATTCAAATACCAGAAAACACTCCTGTAGACGACATAAAGGAGATGAAGAAAGAAGCTCTTCTCAAGTTCTTTGCAAAGCGCCCATGGATACAACTTCCAAACAGAGAGAGTCCAATTCCACGAATTATACAAATTCTCAGAGCACTGTTCCACTTCTCAGGACGGCCGTTCTTCATAACCTCAGAAGGCGACATCCAACCAGTTCTGTAAACCTTAACGTTTAGAGTAAAAACATTTTTTTTCATTTTTTGAATGAAGCAAGTTAAATTCGTCCCACACCAATCTCAATGGACCGATGAAGAGTTTCAAGCCATAGTTGAAGACGTTGAGAACGACATAGACGGCGAACTTGAAGGAGCTCAAATCACAATTGCAACCAAAATTGCAGAAGTCAAGGAACAGATAGCTCCACTTAAAGCTACCAAAGCTACTCTTGACCTCATGGATAGTTACCGTTTAGATGTCAAGAGTGGAATAAGACAATTAAAATTAAAACTTCTAAACTACGAAGCTATACTCCAAAAGTTAGCAGAAATGAGAAGACTTTACCAGAGCTACTTACATGTAAGGGACTTACCTTCAAGCAGGCCGACCAAAGATGAATTTGTTGACATTGTCCCAATTTTGTCCGAAAGTCAGCTCAGATGTTTCGAACTGCTCCCAACATATCCAGAATATGAACGTTTGCCTGAACTCTTCCACAATCTCAAAAAACGTTTTTTGGTTCTCATGTTCCAAACTTTTATCGGAAGAGACAACAAACGTTCAGAAGAAGAACAAGATATTATTTTAAACTTGTTGTATGACATAACTGTCATAACAAGCTTTTTGAAGTAAAACCGCCATTCTCAAACCACTTCATTTTTTCGATGTCCGAACAAGCACCGAAGCCAAACTCAATGGCAGATGTCCTTTCAAGGTTGCCAGACAAGCGCCCAGTTCAAATTCAAATTGCCCAATTGAACGCTCATCTGTCAAACACCATTAAGACTCTCCAAAGTAGTCTTATGTTAGAGATAGCCAATCTCAAAGCCAATGTCCTCACGAACCAAGCTTCCAATGAGAAAGTCCTGAACGATTTCGCGGAAACCTTGCGCCAATACGACATAGAGAACCAAAACCTTGCCCGACTCATCTACCGTTTCTTCGAAGAGATAGACGCCATCTGGAAGGTACTCGGAAAGGACAGAACATGCAACACCGTAATTCGTGAACACAGAATTGCCGAAGGTATTATCAAAGAAGAGGAAGAAGAGGAAGAAGAGGAAGAAGAGGAAGAAGAGAAACACGAAGAAGTTCCTGAAGCCGCTACATGGGCAACCCTTGTTGCCGATGACGCTTACGAAATTTCCCAACCCTACCCATACAAAATCCGCAACAAGGAGACAGGCAAGGTTCTTACCCCAGTCCTCAACAACTTGGGACACTTGAACCTTAACCTTCGGAATTACGGTTCAATTTCCATGGGAAGGCTTGTCGGTATGCAATGGGTTCCAAATCCAGACAAGAAGACGAGGGTCAGACACATTGACGGTGACAAGCTCAACAACCGTAAGGAGAACCTCGAGTGGTTCTAAGAGTAAAAAAATTTTATTTTAGGGGAAACCCCAAGTAAATTTAGGTGTTTATTTGGATAAGTATGTTAAATTAAGGGTAATTTGCAAAATTAGTTCCCGACCTTTGAATTGGACTCTTTCGTTATCCCAGTTGCGTAGGAGGTCGTCCCAGAGGAGTTGGTAGAATTGCCAATCCAAGGACGATTTGTCCTCCCAGGCATTGAGGATGTACTGCTCGTAGAGTTTCATGACCTCTGCCTTGCACCAGACACCCTCTCCCTTGGAACGTAAGGCTTCTTCGAAGTGCTCGAATGCGATTGGCTGCATGACCATCCGAAATGACACTTTTTGTCCGTTTGGTCAATGTTCGTGTCTCGTGCCATAGTCGACGAAAATACAGACAAACAGGTTATATATGAGTTTGAGACCAAGAATGGTGTAACTCGACCTGTCCGATTCAAAGACTCCGAGGGCGACCATGAAATTAAACGGAAATTAGCTAGGAAGGAATATAAAAATTTTTTACTTCATGCAATGTTTTATTTCTGTGCCGTCTTCAAGTATGCCCCAATACTTACGCTTGGAGAGGACATGAACTTCGGAAAATACCTTATCTAGCTTAAAACAGCCCATCTTTTCACCGACCATTCCCATTTCAATGAGTTTGTTATAGCCTTCTTCGTTCGTCATGAGTGCGTCAATGTTCTCATAGTAAACCTTCACTTTGGATTTGACTTCCGAGAAGAACTCATTGTAGTTGTCAAGTACTGCCTTTGCGAACTGAGGGTAAGACCAATGTTCGACAATAGGTTTTAATGTGGTTACTAAGCCACTTTGACCTTGAGTGAATTCGTACTTCAAAACAAAAGGAGAAAACCTTTCAACAAAGTTGTCGACCTTCTCATAATGTTTACTCTTCATCTCTTGAGGTTTCTTAATGGAATATCCCCATGTCGAATTCATAAGCAATTTGAGTGTCATTGCAAGTTTGGGGTTTGAAGCTTTCCTAATATCATACAGTTGTTGTATGACTTTTCCAACTGTATAGTTCCTTCCCGGGAACTCACCATCTTCGTTTGGAATTCCAGTCGGAATATATTGGACAAACCTCATGTACGCAGCGTTAAGGTCGACATAGTATATCTTTTCATCTGAGTCGAACTTGTCGCAACCAATTGGTCCAGTTTGTGGAAATTCAAGTGAGTCTCTTATCTTCTGAGAAACTTCTCCTGTTATCTCATAAACATCGTCGAAGCAACCTGTTTCATATAAAACCTTCTGACCTAACTCAGATGCTCTCCAATACAATTTGACGTCAATTGGATGTCTCAATGGAAGTTTGTTTATAGCATCTTGAAGTTCTTGCAACCTCATTGGAAGTTCTTCTGGTTCAGGTTGGTATCCGAACAATCCAACTCCTTGTGGAATTGTGTACTTCTTTTGTACTAGAACTTTTCTGGAACAACTTTTGGTCTTGCTAACAATGAAAAGTTTGTTTCGTCTTTGGTTACAAAGTTTCCGTCAGCTTGTCATCTGGAATTGGTTCCAACAAACCTTTCTCGAAAAGAATGTTTACAGCTCTGACAATGTTGCACTTGCCTTTTCCGAACAATGGGTTTGTAAGACTTTCGTTCAACATGAAGTGGTTGTGGACAATTGCAATCTTCAACCATGGTAAGTCTTTGTCAACAACATAGTCGTCATGTGAAGAACCTTTAGCTGTAGGTATGTTGACTCGGATATTGACATTTGCCAACGGTGCAATTTTTGCCAATTGACCTCTGAGAATGTACCTTGTCTTCACACAATGACTCAAGATACTTCATCTTCTCATCTGTAACAAGACCAGAGTTCCTGAGACATGTAAGAATGCAAGGTTCATTGACAATTGTTTCAATTGAATTGTAAATTCCATACCTTGTCAAGTCAATGTCAGACTTATTTATGAACGGAAAGTATCCAGCATGTTGTCTGACTGCTTGAGGGTTAGGTTGGTACCATTCGAACTTGACACTTGCAATTCCTTCAATTGCATTCAAAATGTCTGAGTCGGAGTCAACCATTTGTTCTCTCTTTGTAGTCTTGAAAGCGTCAAGAAGTTTTGCGGCTGTTTGTTCATTGCCATTTGCATAGTAAATGTGACCATCCAAATCCGTTATGGTCAATCTGAGATTGTGTCCTTTCTTATTTCCGTCTTGTATGGCAGCAAGTACACCCATGAAGCCTTCTTTGTTCTTTTCCTTCGTCAAAGTTTACTGTAAAGGTTCGACCAGATGTAATTTGACTTCTAACTTCACGATACTTTTCATATGCATATCTTGTTCTTTCCATGGGAGCATGTGTGTCTTCACCTTTTCCTTTTTTCCTTCTCAAAGGATGCAATTGTTCGTCATGTTTCCAGTAGAATCTGGCAAAGCCGTCGTGTCCTTCAACTCGAGAGTTCACTAACATCGAAAGGCATGTCCATAAGACGTTCTTCTTTCTAACCTCTCTAGTCTGTTTGGATAATTTGCACGTGCTGTTTCCAAATCCATTTCGTAGCGACCAGACAATTTGTCATAGACTTTTATGGGTCTTCCCTTCCTATATTTAAACTTCTTCGAACTCTCCAACCATATCTTTGCAACTCTGCTTTTATTCTAGCAGACTTTCTATCCATTCTATATGGGGGCATTTTTATAAAAATAAAAAAATATTTTTTTCTTTACTTTACATAACCGCTCTGCTGCCATAAGTCTTTGACTCCAACCATACCAGCTAATGAAGGTTGACTTGGTTTAGTTTCCAACTAAACTTTGGTTTTGGTTTATCTTCAGTTTTTGGTTTTTCTTCTTCTATCGGTTTTTCGTCACTTTTCGGTTTCTCTGACTTTACTTCACTTGCAGGAACAGTTGTGTCGTCAACATCTTCATAAATATCATATGCCATTTGTTTTTGTTTTCCTTTCAACTTTTTGTGTTTGTTGTAAAGTTTAGAATATTTCGACTCTAAGTCAATGAGATGTTCTATAATGAACTGTTGGTCAGTGAAGTAAACTTTTCCATCTGTTGTCTCGAAAGCTCCTTCAGACTTCAATATTTTATTTGTGAGAGTCTGTTTCTTTTTTGAGATACTAGCCGTTCCATTTTTATGAAAAAGTGACTTTGTAGTTAGGGTTTGTATTTTCCAGACCTGGCACTTTCTATTATTGAATTTTTCTCTTCATCTGTAAGTTCTTTGACAGGTTTTGACAATGGTTCTGAACTTTTTGTTTGTGGTGTCAATCTACCGTTTCAACTTCTTCGGTCATTTCATCTCAGTAAAAATTTTAGTTTGGTTTGTTTTCAACTGGTTGTTGTTGTTTTTTAAGTCGGTCTAAAACTTCCTGAGGTATAGGAAGAACTTGACAAACACGTGGTGTAACTGCTGGAAGCCGACAAATCCATCTTGAACCCATTTGTCTCAATGCTGTATTGTTCATTTCATCTCAGTAAAAAACTTTACATTCCCCACGTTTGAGGCGGTTGAGGTTGGTTATTGTTTACCCATTGTTGTGCATGGTTATATCCTCTGTTAAAGAATCTTTCACCTTGGTCCATATAGTGTCCTGCTTGGTTATAGTAGTCATTTGCTTTGTTATAATAGTTTCCTGCTTGTCTTCCTACATTGTCCATCCATCCTTGAACTTTTCCTCTTGTTTCAGGATTTGGAATAAGATTTGTTGCATCTCGTGCTACATCCCAACCTTTCTGTACAGTTTGTATAATAGGTTGTGCTTTCTCTTTAAGTATACCTAATGTACTCAAAATCTTCCTTCCAACTCCAAATACACCTCTGGCTATTGTTCCCACTGCGGGCAAAAATCTGGATGCAACTCCTGCTAATGCGCCAAATAAACCCATTTCTTATGGGTTAAAAAAATGACGAATCCAAACAAGGACCCCTATGTTTCTAAGGCGACAAAGAAAGCACTCATGGTAAAAATCTTTAGTTCAACACCAAATGCTTGGTTTATGGATATCTTGGAAAACATTCCGAGAGTTAGAACAGATGGACCACCATACTGGCTAATATTTGTCGGTCAAAACACAAGATACTGTGAAGCCATACCATTATGGTCCAAAAATATTTTAGATGTGAAAACTGCTTTGACAATATTCGTTGACAAATACCATCCAACAAAACTGACATCTGACTGTGAAAGTTCTTTCAAATCAGATGATGTAAAAAACTATCTGCGTTCAAAAAATGTAAACCAATATTTCATTGTCGACCAAAACCATTCTGCTCTTGGTGTCATTGACGGTTGTATAAAAATGTTAAGAGACTTAAACAACCACAAGGTGGTGAAGCAAATGAAATGTCATATGACGACAAATATAGACACTTCTCCATGGCAAAGATGAGACAAGTTTTAAATATTTACAATAGCCGTAAACAAAAAGGTTTGGGAAACCACTCCCCCGAAGAAATGAAAAACAACCCTGACTTAGAGAAAGACTATATATTTAATAATTTAGTCAAAAGAGACAAACAAGAAAGAATGCCGGGCTTCAAACTTCAGAAAGGTGACAAAGTAAAAATAGAAATACCTAAACGCGACCCATATGAAAATACTATTGACTATGACAACAATGGGAACTCGACAGGTACTCACATTCGTGTTCGTAAAAATAGAAGAAAGTATACAAGAGAATATTATGAAGTTTTAGGCAAACATGGCAAAATGTACACACTGCAAGCAGAAGATAAAACTACTATTGCCAGACCTCGTTTCAAACTTATCAAAGTTCAAGGTGGTATACTTTCAAAGACAGTTCCTAACAAATATAAGACAACTCCTGACGAATATGCTAAAGAAGTTGAAAATGACGACTAAGCATTTCTATACCATGCGTAAACTGTCATGTAAGGTGGCATGTATTCTTTACTTTGTCCCGTTGTTTGCGTATATCCCGAAACGCGATGTGTATGGTTTCCATCTCCCTGAGTGTTACCCCAGAAACAATTTATAGCAAACTGAACGTCGTCTTTAACATCATATCCTTTACCTTTTTTCATTGCTGACCAATCCCAAAATTTATGCTTATGCCAACCTGCTTGAGATGTACTTAAATCTATGTAGTGACTATGTGCAGGTAAATTTTCACCTGAAATTGTTTTACTTCCACCTGTTTCCTTTGAAGAGTTTGCACAATACAAAAACCTGTCGACTATTTGAGTCCAAGTTCCAAAACCAAGTACTACTTCTGGTCTGGTAGAGTTCATTGACGTATAAATAGAGCCTATAGGATATAATGTTTGAAGCATTTCTGTCTTTAATGTTTGAAGCTCTGTTTTGTCTGCTTTCTTGTCATATAAATCTTGAGCAGTGAATTTAATATTATGTTCATCCTTCATGACATAAACATCTTTACATCTAATGTTTCTCATCGTCGTTATGTCGTCATCCGATGTTAAACCTTGTGGAAAGTTAGGAGGTTTACAATATAATACATCCCCACCAGTTTCTTCAACCGTTCCTTCAATACTTTCTATAGCAACAGTTGTAAAACTTGTATGTGTATGAGTCTTATTTGCTTTCTTCTCTAACTCATCGTTAACATAAGTTTTATCTGCTTTAAGGTCTAAACATCCTGAAACCCATCCTGTATCGGCTTTAGTTTTTAAAATCTTCGATGTCCATTCATGGTACCAGTCAACCCTTTCTTTCATTTCGTTATCTTTTTCATCCACATATTCCTTATCTGCTTTCTTCTCTAACTTACTAGCCACATATCCCTTATCTGCTTTATTTTCAAGGCTAACGTTTAAGTCTGTTATTTCAGATATAGAATGTGTATGTCCAACGGCACTTTTCCTGTTTAAGGTTTCTTGTAAGTTTGTAATATTTGCAATGGTATGTGTATGTCCAACGGCACTTTTACTGTTTAAGGTTTCTTGTAAGTCTGTTATTTCAGATATAGAATGTGTATGAGTCTTTTTAGAATATTCGTTTTCAGCTCTCGTCACTTCACTTGACATTTTATTGTCAACATATGTTTTGTCTGCTAGTTCAGGATGAGTATGTTCTTTTGTTGCATAAGCATTGTTAGCTCTTTCTTCTTCTTTTGCTATTGCATCGTCTACATATTCTTTGTCAGCTTTGTTGTCAACATCTGCTTTCAAAAGAAGTTCATTTATAGGTTTCTCGTTTAAAGTTCCTTTTGTTGGATTTATACAGACAGTATGGTTCTTATTGTCTTGAAATAGAAACTCATCTGTCATTGGGTTTAATGTCAGTTTTAAGTTTCCTTCTTTCAATGACTCAGATATCTTAGAATAGTTTGAAAAGTTTGTTGTGTTCTTATTTAGAGCTTGCATAATGAGTTGTCGGTTGTGTTGTATTTCTCTTA